ATCTAGAGCCATTAAGTTGTAGGCAGAGCCCTAATAAATGCACTGCTAAAAATTAGGACAAAAATTTTGTTGCTTAAAAATAGATTCTAAAATGTGCCGAATATGGCTCTCAAATCATGGTAATGATGAGGCCATAGATCAGTTACTATTTATTAGGAAATAGCCCCCTTTTATTTCAGCCTGCACCGGAAATAAAGGGTCAGACTTCAGACAAAGGAACAGAATCCTAAATTGTGCTCTCCAGACATGCTATGTCACCATCACACAATTCTAATTTTACTTAACCCACCACCTTTAGAAATATATGAAAATCAAGTTAATTTTGATGAGTTTACTCCAACATAGGAAACAACATAGGCCATGTCTGGTTTTGAGTGTGTGTGGTACACCTAGCTATCTGGTGCCCAAGAGATGAGGGAATGATAGGCGTTCACCTTGCTTTCATACTGTTCCATTCGATGGCAGTGTGTGATCAAAGCAGGGAACTCATCCTTGTTTGGTGAGCTTGCTGCTGTAGGCCATGCACAGCTGGACTTCTTAACTGACTTATTTGAGGAGGCTCTGAGTATCAGAGAATCCTGGACCCATAGACTTAAGCAATTGTAGTTCAAAAATATTTGGAAGATTTTTTTAGTACTGTATTCAACGTGCATAGACTTATTTTCTTATTATTATTCCCTAAAGAGTGCAGCAGGCCATCAATTTGCACAACATTTCCATTATATTAGGATTACAAGCAATGAAGAGATGATTTAAGGTATCAAAGTTGAAGAAAAATACTGGACCATTTAATACAAAGGCTTGGGGTCTTCTGGACTTGGTATTTGTGGGAGTCCTGGGATCAAATTCCCTTTGGATACCAAGAATTGACAAGATTTCCTTAAAGATTGCTGTGTATTCCATCAATATTTATTCTGGGAGAAAATTGTAGAGGAGAGTTGACTGAAACTATTTGGCCTTAAAAAATGTACTTATGGGCTTTTGCATCCACTCTAGAGCTTGTGTGGGCTTGTTGAGAGCTGTGAATTACTCGGAGGGCCCTGCTTGTAAATTCCCAGGTGACTCCAAACAAGGTGGTGCTTTGCCTCTGGGCTCTCACACTGTAAGCCAGCATCCCTTCTGAACGCTAGGCTTTGCATTTTTGTTTCTTTGTAGGTTTTGCTTATGAGTCTGAAGTAGGCTAGCTAAGCAGAAGGAAAAGCCACACTGCATGGTGGCTGGAGGCAGAGCAATCACAGGGCTGTGATACAGCCGGGTATGATGGGATTGCTCAAACAGTAAAAAGCAAGACCTCCATACGACCTGGGATACGACCCGGGAACAGCACAGCTGACTAAGTCCCCCACTAACTCTGTATGGTGCCTTATTGTTAGCCTTCCAGAATTGGCTGTTCCCATCATGCATCTATGCTATGACATAGCCTCAAACTTTATATAAAAATAGAAAACTGTGATAAACCCTGTCCCAGGAATATCCCCTCCACCCATGAAATTCATCACCTCTATTCATGAATAATCCTCTCCTTTATAGATGCCTGCCTATAAGACAGAGTTGTTCAAAATGTCTGATGCTCTACATTCTCCCAAGGAGCCCTCACTTCCTCTTGGGGGTTACTTTTGTTCTATAAGGGAATGTCCTTCTAATTCTTTGTCGCCCTTTCCCCGCCATCAATTATTCCTCTGGTCATGCAAGAGGTAGAATGCACTAGATAGAGGTATCAGTATGGTCTCTGAGCTCTGCTTAGTCTTCCCCAGTCACAGTGACTTTGCTGTTTAAAATGTCTTTGTGTATAGTTTAAGATGCTCTCTAGTATTCAAAGCACAAGGAAGCTGTTAGGTGCCTTATATGGAAAGTATGCATGTTAGACTTTGTGTAAACACAACTTTTGATACGCATGATGAGCTGTGAGTTCGGTAGAAATTTATCTATATAATGTGTATCAAACTGGCCATCCTTCAATTGTAACACACAGAGAACAGGTTTATGCATTGATTAGTTGATGAATGTATTTGAACCAAAGGCTCATAGCAATACTATGGTAGCCATGCAGACTTTATGGAGTATACCATGATGAATGATAGAATAACTATTCATTCCTCTTTACTTTTTCAGTTCTATAATGGCAGTAGCAATCTAGTCTTGATTCAAGGCAGATAGAACTGTATGTATATTTATGCACATATGTGCATGTCTGTGTGTATTTGAGCTGGAAATCACTGGTATCAATCCACAGCATTGACTCCCCTTTGGAGAAAATAATGCGTATGAACAAAGCATTTTTCCTCCCTTTAAAACCAAAAGTCTTCTTAGGTGATGGTTATCTATATTTCTCTGTAGTCATGTTTGTATTTTGCATCTTTGATCCCTATTGAATCCTCTTTTCTTTCTTATATTTCTTAGAACAGGACTTTATAAGAATACTGCTCATGGTTGGGTCACTGGCGGTGTCGTGGAAGGGATAATGAGGATGTCCTGAGAAAACAGACATTAATCACACCATTGGTACGACAGTTATTTTTGTTGCTGTTGCTGTTATAGTCATCTATGATTCCCTCAAAATACTAACCTTCTCTAGAACATACTACCTTCCTTTGCCAGCAGCTGTAGCTCTCTGACCACTTAATTGTATTTGTTGTTTTCAACAGTAAATGTAAGTGAGCTCTTTCTATTACTTCATGGACTCATTATTGTGCTTTTCTTTTGTAAAAGAGCTACAAAGTCCCTGGAATGAACTGGGACAGTGGAGCCTACAGGCAGTCGGTTAAATATTCTCCGCTCCCCAGGCACGGTTTCCTCACCCCACAGGCTCTTCACCAGCCCTTCGTGTGTCGGCGAACTGCCTATTTTTCTCTTTTCCATTCTTATTCCCAGGAGGTTATCTGCCCATGGAATTAAGCACCTGATCTGCCACAGGTGGGTGTTTGGGTTGACCTTTCAAACAGAGCTGCCTTTGTCAGAACTTTCAGTGCAGAGAATAAAGCGTAACGCCATGTTCTCAGTGAGAGGCAGCGTCACCATGTGTCTCCAAGTGAACAAGTGAGAAGTAAAGCCTTTAAAATGCGCTCACCCAGCCGGCAGTGCACTCGGCACTGGGAAAAGATAAAACTGTGTCTGCTCCAGCTGGCTCCTGCGCTACTGGCTTCCCTTCTAAAAAAGGAAGTGGGGACAAAAATGGGGAAGAAAGAAAGATGCTGAGACTAACAAGGGGAAAAGGCTCCTGGCAATTTGGCCATTGTTTCACACCATTTAAACCCAAGAACCCACACATGAAATCAGGACGTTTTGTTGTTTCAGTATTACTACTGTAACCCGAGCTTTCTCTGTTGATCTAGTGATGGGATTAACTCAAATTATCAATTTATATCCTAATAAACAGAAAGTTATGTGAGCTAAGTTCAATATCTAGAGGTCTTGAACAAATGAATATCTTTTATTGCTTAAAAAGTTTCTATATTCTTTGTATTGGATTACAAGTCTAGCACAGATAACCCTCCAGTCCATTCTAGTTCTTTCATTTTATGATTCTGTGATTCTATTTTTCTCTAGGAACAATGAATAGCACATTTCCTTACCAAAAGCCATCTTTTAATTACTGCCTTAACTGTGGGATGAGACTGATTTCGAATCTCTCATTTGAATATCTCTGCTGAATTACACAAAGTAAATGTGTTAAGGCAAACATTCTTGTATTGATTTCCTTCCTGTATTTTTCCTTCTGCTGTTAGCCTGCCTCTCAATAGATGGTGCTCTTTTCTCAGAGACATATTCTTCACCCAAAGATGAGAGAAATCAGCTTTACTTTAAACAATCATTAATTAAAGAAATCAGACAAGCAATTTGCAGTACCTGGGGAACAAAAGCATAATGAGGGAAACGATCTTTCAATGACTATTGAAGCCTGTGACATGTGTGCTGAATAGGTGAAGCAAATATTGTAACTAAACCTGAAAGTGCCATGTTCATGATGCCACTGGGAAGAAGGACTCAAATCAGGAGCCATTTTAAAGTGCTGGTATATCCATCTACTTTAACAAAAGTGGATAGATAAATACTTCACATTAATGGGCCGAATAGGAACATGTAACTCAGGACCAGCACACTCAATATCACTCTCAGTACTGAGACCAGTCTTTGTCAAATTTATCTAGAACACCCCAAATAACAGAGGGTAGACCTCAAAGTCTTTGGAAATAATTTCACTAGATAGAGATACTTTCCTCTCTGTACATCCTGAACAACTCCCAGTAATACAGAATGTTGTTGCTTTTATCTTCCCTAATTGACTCCTAGGGTTGCAAGCACTGAAAAACAGTTATGCCCTATAGATGCCCTGAGCTACCCAGCAATTCCAGATGGCACTCAGGACTTCCTGAGCAGAAGTTCAGGAAGAAAGTGCAAACTGGGCTAAACATCACAACAGTAGCCTTGCTCCATCCAAGCTACTCTGTCCTGGAGAGATGTCGGGAAAGCTCCTTCCACTTGGGGCAGCCTCAGGGTGGAAGAAGAGTAAGACACGCTCCTAGAACACATGAGAAGGGACGGAGCTGTGGTGCAGCCTAAACTAGCAGGTCTGAGAAAGTTAGGAAGTTCGTCTCTTTAACCTACTGAAGAGCCTTTGCCCTTCAATAAGGGGAAGCTAAGTAGATTCTTTTCCTCACATCGTCACAACTCTCTGTTCTTACAGCTCATGCAGAGGGACGATTGACTGTCAGATGTGTTTCAAGACTGTCTTGTCTTAGAATAAGAAGGAGATCTAAGATACGACCTCCCACCCCCCGTATCTTAATAGCCATGGCCCAAGAAACGTCGTGGTTTTGGAATTTTGAACACTGCTTTATCAAGAGAGGGAAGAAAAACCTAGAAAAGTAAAAGCTCACATAGGAACAGCAAGTTCTGTATTCAAAGCATCCCTTTTCTGTACCCTGTTTACTCCTCCCCTGTCACTCACAGACTTTGTCCCCTTCCCCCCTGCGGAGCTCAGCACCCAGAGCGTTCCTTACCTGACAATCACATACATGACCAGGAAGTTTCCGAAGAGGCCCACTACACACACGATAGAGTAGAGGGCCATGATGGTAATGGCTGTGACCATGGAAGGGTTGCCGGTTGGAGGGCACAGGCTGTCGCTCCCACCAAGCCCGGTGCGGTTCAGACCGCATGGGTCGGACTGGTTGCCATCTACGTGGGACAAGTTGAGCCAGGAGCCAGGTGCTGAGGAGCAACTTGCCTGAGTCAAGGGGTCAGAACAGTCGCTGCTGTTCCCCGGGCCGGCGCGGCTGTCCATGGTGCTGAAGGCCTGCTGGGGACTCTAGGCGGTAACTGAGAGCACCCAGACTTTTCGGGTGCCACGCGCCTCAGCGTCTTCCTCTCCCAGCTGCCTTGGCTCCGTCTGTTTCTTGCACGGACCGGCCCTAGCGGAACGAGAGATGAGCGGCAGGCAGAAGGGAACATATGAACATCTGATATTCTCTTCTGCCTGTAGCCCCCTCCCACCTCAGAAGTACAGCCAGGCGCGCCCCTAGCATCCCAAAGCGCTGCTCACTGGGTGGAAGGGAGGGAGCGCGCGCTGCGAGGGATCCAGAGGCTGGAGAGGAGGGAGGAGAGAGGAGTGGATTTTGCGCAAAGCAACTCTGAGAGTCAGTCTCCTCTGTCGCCAAGCACTTCCTTGCAAACGAGTATAAAGTGGGGTAGGAGGAGGCAGAAACAGGGACGTTGCAGACAAGGATGGGAAGAGAGACTGTTCAGTTTCTTTACAACGACCATGCATAAGGAAGGGTGTTTGCATAACTATTTTGCAGTCAAGAAAAGTCATTGATCTATTATAATCTCAATGGCCCTTAAACCACAATTCTCTTCCAATTCAACTGCCCATATGCAACTAACTGGGGCTGGAGGCATACTGTTGCTGTCCTACTTTACTCAGATCCCCATATCTGAAGCAAAATTTCTCAAAAATTTTAACAGCACAGACTTGTTCAAAGCAACAGCGGTCTTTTTCTGAAAAAGAATGATTTTGTGAAGGAAGCTTCTTTCTTGTGCTCCCATTTCCTCAATTTCTCTTAGATTAGAAGGTCTATTTGCACCTGATTTTTTTTTCCTAGTGAACAAGCACAAGAACACATTACAGAAATCAGGAGGGAGGGGTGATAACCCCTAAAATCCACTGAGGATCACTCTGCCCCTACTACCTCCACTCTAATGGACCTGCTTAGAAAGGTTTACCTTTAGCTTCTGCACCTCCATCATGCTCACATGTTTCTGGGGAGCAGGTTACTGAACCAAGCAGAAATTGTACCTCTTTATTCGTTCTACTATAGAGATTCCAAAAGGAACTACATGCCTCTTTTGAGTGTGAAATAGCTTCAAACATGATCCTTGAGGAACAAGGATGCATTTGGAAAATGTAGATCTCATGTCTAAGTTCACAAGAGCATCTGACAAACTACAATTGTAAATTCAACAGCAGCATGTTTTCTTCTCACCACTATGCATGCATAGGCTCTGCACACTCAGAGTTTAACTAAAAACCTGAAAATAAATGCCTTTGCTTGGTTGTGGAAAGTCTCACTGAGCTCTTATAGACTGTAGAAAGCAAGCTTAGAAGGGACACATAATTTCAATTTAACTTTAAGTTATCTTAAAAAACAGATAACTCATAGCTAAGCTATTAATCATGGGCTTTTGGTCAATGTTCAGTATTATTTTTACCCCTTTGCATTAGCGGGTATAATTTTAGCAATAATGTAGATAAGGTTTCCTAGAAGCTCCTAAAATACCTTCAGATGTATTCTCCTAGGAATAACCATGTCAGCTCACATGACTGAGCTGAAATCTGTCTGGTACCCCTTCACATGAAAGAAAGTCGGCACATGGAAGTTGTTGCTGCCAGATCGTTTTGTGAGATAGCCCTGTAATCTCTAGCAGTGTGAGTCTGAGTATGTTACTTTACCTCACTGAGTCATAGTTTTCTTTTCAGAGTAAGAACCTAAACTTTATTCAAACATATGTTCTCATGTGAAATCAATATTTCCATTCTATTTGTCATGTTTCACAGAGAGTAATCAACATCCTCAATTACTCCAAATGCAACATTTCCTGACATTATTTCATCTGTCTTTCTGTCCATCTATCTATTATCTATCTATCTATCTATCTATCTATCTATCTATCTATCTATCTATCATTTGTCTATCTTTCTACTTCCCATATGTTCTATTCAGTCAATATATGCTTTGAGAAAATGCAGATAATGTCATTTATCTGTCAAATATAAATATTAAATTAACCTTGAAAATCCTTGAAAAGTTATACAGATAATAATAATCAATAGATGATGCAAGGACCCCAAGTTTAAGTTATATTATTTCTTAGTTTTCTCCATAGTTGCTCATTTCCTCCTAGAGTGATCTGAAGGTCTTTGTGGAAGCTTAAATTTCCCCTAAAAAAGGCAGACTATTAAAAAATGACTCAGCACACTGAAATCCTAAATACTGTGTATAGCCTGGGTTCTAACCATGTGACCTTTAATTTCTTAGTGTCTTAGTATTGCTGTCTGTGGAAAGATCTGCATTTTCATTGATGTTTCCTGCTATACCTTGATTTTTCATTTGAATCAACAATAATTTATCACATACTGGTCTACATTTAATTTTTGGTATCAAGCCCATATAATAAAACTTTTTTTTCGTGAAATTGTTTGCCTCAAAGAAATGCATTTCGTCACCATCTGGATGGCTCCAGCAATGAGCTAAAAGTCACTCTTCTTGGATTTCAGTGTCTATTGGCCTCAGGTATTCATATAATTGCCGTAAGTGCACACTCATTTTTAACAGTTTAGTCCTGATTGTTTTTGAGAGTGGCTGTTAATGGAACACACTATTAACAGCTGTTAGTGAGAACCAGAGTCATAAATACTATGCATAGACTAATTACAGTGCTGGAAGATCAGAAAGAGAAGGCCGAACTGCTTTATCAGGAGAACATGCTCTGTGTTTTGTAGGTACATCTTACTTTTAACATTTAAATGTGCACAGTTAATACAGCATTTGAATTTGACACAATATTATTTTAGACTATTGGAATGGTGCATAACCCTTCCATAAGATGTAGTAAGTTTCTTTGGTTTAAAGTTTAAAAAGTGAAAAAAAAACTAAATTAAAAATAAAAATTCTTCACCAATCTCTGTGTGATAAACCTGAGAGGGGACCTGACCTGGAGCCAGTAAAAGCCACGAACTTTAAATTTTAAAAAGTATCCCAAAATCCAGACTTTACTGTCCATTTTTCTTCTTGGAACTTACATTCTTTATGCTTCCTGTTAATTGGTTCCTCTTGTGTAAGATAAATGGGCAGGAATCAACCACAAAGCAGTTTTCCAAGGTCACATAGATTTGCTTAAACAATTAATTCACAGGTCTACATGCCTTTCTTTAAATCTGGAAGCTCACTTTTAAGAACTGGGTTTTATTCTTCTGTTTCTGGCTATAGAGGTTTGTCATGAGCCAAGTATAGTCTTTCATCATTTTATACTTGAAGAGTGGTTACTCTTTATCAGTCTCACTGAAAAATAATTGAGCGCTCAGTAAAACTTCTGTTTATGCAGGTGTTACGGCTTGAATGTAAACTGTACCACACTAGCTGGGACGCTAGAACCTTTGGTCCTCAGCTGCTGATAGTGCAGAACTGTAGCAGGAGATGCTCAGCTGAAGGAAATGGGTGGCTGTGGGTATTCCCTGAGCCCAGCCCCACTTCTCGTCCACTGACCAAAGTTTGCCTGCAGCTGCAGTGTAACCAACTGCCTCAGTCCTGACAACCACAATTTGCCTGACAAGAAGAACCACATCCCCTCACATTGTAGGTTCAAACAAACCCTTTCTTTGTAAGTTTGCATCTTCCAAACCTTTGGTTGCAGAAAAGTAAACCACGCAGTAGATTGTCCTTATTGCAGTCCGTCACATTTGAAGATAAAGCTGAGAAATTTAGAAAACTGCAACTCTTTGTCAATTTAGAAAAATTAACTATATAAGTATTGCACAGAAAAAGCAGGGATTTTGTTTATCTTAATGATTATAATCTCATATTTTCCCCAGGATCAGCAAAAACAAACAAACAAACAAACAAACAAACAAACAAACACATTCAGTAGGAAAAGTGGTGCTACCTCCGGGCAATTCTTTTAACTGTATGATTTAGAAGCAGCTGGACTGTTGCACCTGATTCTCTCTCAGTGGGGCTCAACATGGGTTGCCGAAGTATATGAAGAACTGTGAAGAATGTTTGCACTTTCTTAGATATGTGACTAGAAAGGAGAGAAAATTTTGGTGCTCTTTATAAATAATTGTGGCTGTTTTCCTTTGGTACTAAATTCAGTCTTCATGTCTCAAAGGGAAGTTGGGCTATGGGAACTAAAGCCACATAAGTGATTCTTAAATCCTGTGATACTTGTTATATCTAACAGCTGGTCTCCTATTTTGAGTGAATTGTCTCCTTAATCATGACTTTGTAATATTGCCCAAAGGTCATTTGGGACAATTAGTTCATGGCACCCTATCACTTTCCAAATGTCAAAGGACCCCATTTCACTAATGGTTATCCACACTTAATATGACCACTGGCAATGCAGGAGAAATTCCCAATAGTATGATGATGTTGTCAGGATTTTTTTCTTTTAATTTCCAGTTTTGTTGGGAATCCAGAACCTCCTCATTGATAATTAGCACTTTCGGTCATACTTGAGATGATAGACTCACCTTTTTCATTTTATAGAAAATGTCAACCAAACATATGATTCTGAGTCAGTATACACATCTATCTTTCGGTCATTCTTCAAATAAAAATAGCATCCCATGAAAAAAGTACCTGGTTCCCATTGCAGTTGTGACAATCACACAAATGCTTTTCTTTGTGAGTGACAACAGTCTGTGGCTTGTGGTGGGCAAAATGTGCTATGTGTATTTCCTACTTTCTACATGGATTTTAAGGGTCAGGATATCTGTGTGTTTGTGTGTCTCTAATGTACATACATACAGTCTATGCATACATGGTCTATGTGCAGGTGTGAATATGCAGAGGCCAGAAGGGGATGTTGAGGGTCCTGTTCTATCACTTGCTACTTTATTCTCTTTCGCTGAACCTGGAACCATCTATACTGGAGGCCGGTGAGTCACTACAACCCACCTACGCGTGACCTCCACAGTGCTGGGGTTCCAGGTACATATACTGCACACACGTCCACACCCAGCTGTTTATGTGGGCGTGAGGGCTCTAAAATCAGGTTGGCATGCCTGCCTGCACAAGTGCTTTTACTTGCTGAGCCATCTCCTCAGCCTCCAGTGGTGTGACATTTCATAAAATTGACTCCTGTTTATGCGTT